TATATATATATATTCAAAAACAGGCAAAATTAAACAATATATCGTGCAGAGATACATATGTAGGAAAAACATGAAGAGCAACAAGTGGAAACATCACATGAGTCAACCATTGCAGACAGGGTGAGGTACACGGGGCAGAAGGCTGCCCAGGGCCCGGCACCTGGGTACAGTGCGCTGGTGTTTGCTTTATTATTCTTTAAGAACATAATGGCATTTTATGCACATTTATGTATTTATGAGATTTTATAGTAGAAATTAATTTACCATGCTTTTAGTTTTTGGTAATAAAATACTTTATTAGTACCATTTAATGTCAAAAACAGCAATGGTTCCACTGATTAGCTTCCATCTTTAAGTTATAAGCTAGTTTAAAAAAATAGAAGGAAAAAAATCACTTGATCCTCCCACAAAGGTAAGCGGCAACTTACTTCTGCAAATAATTTAATTCTCTCATTTTAATGCCATAACTCACTGGTCTTCACAATAAATACCTGCATACAAAAGGAGACAACAGCCTCCATTACTTTGGAGAGATCTTTTGGGTAACTTAAGACCCATTCCCCCAACTTAAAGTGTGTAAGAACAATTAGTTATTGTAAAGCTGGACTTGTGTAGCACCTAGAAATTTGGAAATTGTAAGATTTCAGGTGATATGATTTACTCAGCAAGAACAGTAAATCATATTGTAACAGCAGTAATCTTTCTCCTGTGAACTTTGGGGGGTTGCTATACAAATATCGAAGGTTACAAAGCTTATGCGCATCCTTCATCTTTTCTCCCAATCTCAGACTACAGAAATTGTGCCCCTGGTGAAAGGGCCATGTGTGATAAATATAGGACAGTCCTCTCTGAATATCACTCTTCCTCATCTTGTTCCATTGATGTGACACTTAAATTAAAACATGCTGTTTGCAATCGCTGTACTTCTCTAAAGCCACCAGCCGTTCTCTTTCTGCAGAGACTGCTATCTTTTTTCTTACATCAGACTGATCTTATAGCTCACTTGTTTTCCTCCCTTAGCAAAATGCTCTTTCCACTATGTATTAGAGTAATGCAAATATAGATAGCAAATATTAACATATTAGAAGATGAAAGATAATATAAATGAATCCATGCTAAATGAGGAAAGGCAAAGCAGAAACCAAGCCCGCTGTGCGTGTACACTCTGCACCTGGCCGGGAAGGACCAAGTGTCTGGCTCACAGAAGCTTCTGTCTGGGCCACTGCTGTAGGCTGCAGGGCACTGTAGCAAATGCTCTGTTAAAAATGCTTCTGTATACTTCTTTCACTCTAAGCAGCTGACAGCACCTGTGACTACTAATGCACAGCATGGTGATACACCTCACATTCTGTTCAGTTTTGTACTTTCACCATTTGCTTAGGATCAGACCTCTAGGAGCTAAGCAACAGTAGGTTATGGGGCTTTCTTTCTACCTTCTGTCGACTGAGTGGGATTTCAGATGCAGCATTTCATCATCCACTGCTGCTTCGTGCTGCCAAACAAAGCTCTCATTTAAAAAAGGCAGCAGGCTGACTGATGCGCTGGTGGGTGGGCAGAGGAGCAGGAAGCTGCCATCCTACAGGCCAGCCCCTGCCCCGCCCCCACCCAGTGTGCACTGGTGCCACACAATCCTGCCATGAGCAACACAGGCCTCAGGCACACATGAACCCCAAGCTACTTCTGAGGCAAACACTAATTTCCTTTGTTGACTGTTCCACAGTGCAGTACATCACAAAGCAGGCTTTGCACTGAAACTCATTTTGTTTTTCTTCTTGTAACTCGGTAAACTGCAAAACCATCAGAAGAACATAAGAAACATGTCTTCTCCAGGAGAGGCAGGGCATCTGAAGGACAGTTAAGGCTAAGCAAATACTGCTGGCTGTGGTGAGGCTGGGTGCAGCACGCTGAGTGCTACCCGGCGGCCTCACTGTTTGTCCGGTAGGCCTGCTTGTGAAGGTGCATCTCAATCTCCTCCCGGAAGACCATCATGCCTAGGTGGGAGTGCGAGGCCTCACTCATGGCCTTAGACTGGATGCACATGCGGTACTGCTCTGGAGTTAGCTCATCTGCACAGTGCTTCTCGTGCCAGAGGTGGAAAAGACCAGGAACTGGGGTGCGGACCACAATGAGGTCGCTGTGCAAGTACTTCCGGTACAGGTGGACATCTTCTCCACCCCAGCCTTTCACTTCCATGTCAAACCCACCTGCAGGATCAAAGCACACAGTGTCACTGGCTGCCTGGCCACAGGGGCACGAGCCTGCGTCGGACCGACTCAAGGGCTCTACTTCAGTGCGACGGCTTGGGCCTGTGCAGAGCACTGCACAGTGCCCACTGCTTGTGGAAATCAGCTGGCAGTGGCCTCAGCCTTGGGAGCTGAGAGCGTGAGAAAGAGGTGAGCCATCTGAGAGCATGGTGTAAACCTGAGTCCTGCAGGAAGCCAGTAAGGGAAAAGGAAATATATATCACCTACACTGTTACCACAATCAGGGTTCATATTCATTCACTTAGTGTTGTTTTTTTTTTTGAGACAGGATCTCACTGTGTAGCTCGGGCTGGGCTTTAACTCCTTGCGTAGTAGCAATCCTCCTGCCCCAGCCTCCTAAGTCTTAGGATTATAGGCATACATCACCACAGCTAGTCTTTATTCTTTTATCCTTTGAGAAACAAGTTTTCCTGGGCTGCAGAAAACTTCCCAGGAGGGAAAACAGAAGAGAAGGCCAAGGGTGGGGGGACAGAAATTTGGAAAGGGGTAAATCGATGATTTAAAGTCACAGGAATGAGTGAAATTATTTGTATTTCTTGACTGAAGGAGCAGTTCCTTTTCCTATCTGGAGAGATTAGTAAAGCACACTATGGGTATGACTGGGTGGTCATGGAGGTGTGACCTTAGGGTTTCTATCTGGGCCCTGGCCCCTTCCTCTCTGGCACTGCTTCCTTGCTCTGATTGTGAACTTAGCAGCTTTGTTCCACTGTGATGTTTCTGCCTTAGACCCAGCCATCCATGGACTGAACCCCCTGAAACTATGAGTCAACATAAATCTCTCTTTTAAGCTGTGGATGGCAGGTATTTTATATCCTAATGGGAAAGTCGGCTATTATTGAGAGGAACCAGAAAGGGCTAAGTTCTATCTCAAGCAGTATCAGTCCCTTCCTCATGAGTTAGTTACACCATTAGTACAGAGGATTTACTCTAGACATGCATGCAGAGAATACTGGGGGCCCTACTGCTCCTCCCTAATACCTACTCATACCACACAGATGACATTTTGCTTTATGAGAAGTGTACTACTGTTGTTCTCAGTTCCTAGCAGAAGCTCGGAGATTTTTTGCCCAAGGTAAGGAGTCCTTAAGAATACACAGCCAATGCTTCTTTCAAAGGAACTGACTGTGTTGAAACAGAGTATAAGGAAGATCAAGCTTCAAGAGGGTGTTTTTGAAAACAACAGAGAGTGTGATCATAAGCAATTAAGAGGAGGATGGTAACTCCACGAAGACAAAAAGCTAAACCACATGCTAGCCAGGTTACCAGAGAGTACCATAGACAGAGGCAACTAAGAAGATCCCTTCTGGGCTCTAAACTGAACTCAAAGATTGCCTACAAACTAATTTTAAAAAGTCTAAAATAATTAATTCACATCACAGAACCATTTATGTCCTGAGCACTATCAAAAACAGGCCAGCAGCTAGTGGACCTGACAGTTGAGAGTGATACCCACAGAGGCATGGGAAGAGACCAAAGAGCCCTGCCAAGTGCAGCGTACTAGCAAGAGAGTGCATTTGCTCTGAGGGTGCAGCAGAGGCTTGGCACTAGTAGGGGTGATGGAGAGGGAGAAAGAATTCACCTGATAGTTTAGCCACATCAGTGTGGGAAGAAGGAAAGACAAAGATAAGCCTCGGAAGCACAGGGAGTCAGTATCCAGAATCGCACATGTTACCAAAAACAGAGTTTTTCAAACAGAAACTGCACAGCATACAACAAACAGGAAGGTGTGGTCATACACCAGAGAAAAAGCAGGTGATGAAGCCTGTGGTGATAGGGCCAGCTGTTCTTTTCAACAGACAAAGATTCCAAAAGCAATTATTACAACAATATTCACAGAATCAAAATAACTCATACTTAAAGAGTATCACACTGTAAGACAATAATGTGTTATCAAATAAAGACTATCAAAGCCACAGATATCACACACACATCTATTACTTCATATGTGGAACTGAATGGAAATTCTGTAGTTACAAAGTATAATAAAGGAAATGAAAGACTCCTTAGATCAACTCAATAGTAAATCTGAACTAACAAAGGAAAAAGAAAACTTGAAGACAAATTTATGGAGAGTAAGTTACTCTGATGAACAGAGGAAGACAGAAAAAGACAATGAACTTGGCTTCAGGAATTCGGGATCCCCTGGCTGCACTGCCATACACATGGTGAGAGAATCAGAGGGAGAGAACAATGAGAAAGGAGCAGAAAAAAATGTACAGACATAATCACAAATAATGAAAAATATTATTGTACATATCCCAACAAACCCTAGTGACCCAATTAATAATGCACAAAGGTTAAGAACAGATATTCCACTAAACACGATATATAAATGGGCAGTAAGCACATGAAAAGATGCTCATCATTAGTCATCAGAAAGACGAGTCAAACACAATGAGATACCACCTAGCACCCACCGTGGCTGCTACAGACAAGAACACAGATAAGTGGGCCGCTGCTCATGGGAAGGAAAGGCACTGAGCTGCTGGAAAGATCAACTGAGACAGCCGCTCTGGAAACAGCAGAGCAGTCTGTCAGAGGTTAAACAGAGGAATCCCACAAGCCAGCAAGGCTCTGCCAGGTATACGGCTGAAAGAACAGAAAGCCGATTTGTATGTGAAGAGGCATACACAGGTGTTCCTAGGAGCAGTGTTCATAACAGTTGAAGGAGAAAGAACTCAAATATCTACTGTGAGAAAAACAAAGGGTTTTTTTTTTTTTTTTGGTTCCTCGAATGCCTTCAGGGCACTTTTTGGCCAGTGGGAGAGTTGTGAGGTTCGAACTCCAGCAACCTCAGGCTGACAGCTTTGTGGAAGCAGCCACTTAAAGGACTGAGCTAGGGCCAGGGCCCCAAGAAAAACAGATAAAATGTGGCACAACTACACAAGGGGAGTAAGTAGCTGACACATGCTACACCATGGACCAACCTTGGAAACATTACCCTGAGTGGAAGCAGCCAGGGACAAGGACCACAGACTCACAGCTGTGTTACAGCAACTACCGAAAGAGTAGGGAAGCCCACAGATGCGGATTAGTGGGTGCTTAACTCTGAGGACAAAGGCGGCTGCTGGAACTAGGCATGGGGTTCTTTCTAGGTGATGACACGCTAAATTTGGTGATAACTATACAACTCAGGGAATGGGTGCAATTTAGGTTGATAAGTTTTATGACATATGAATTATATGTCAATAACATTGTAATATAAAAAATAAGGAATCCCAAGTACTTAAGATATTGTTAAAAATGTTTAAAAATTTATTTTTGAAATATTTATTAAGCAAAATCAGGGCAAATGGCATTAGTTTAATTTAGTAAGCTTTTATCATTATTTCCTGGTTTTCCATTATTCATGTATTATAATGATGCATAGACTATGTGGAGAGATTTCCAAAACAAATAGCTAATTATTATTAGTAGTATTTTTTATGTATTTAGTACAGGGTCTACAGGGCCTCACTACGTAGGTCGGGCTCATAGTGATTCTCCTGCTTTCAGCCTCCCAAGCACTGGGATTATAGGCATGAGCCACCACGCCCCGTCTCAGTTGCTGTCTCAGTGTATCCCAGGGGTGGGACCGGCACAGCATGCTGGGGATTGAACCTCAGCCACTGCACTCTGCCTAAGCAGGTGCTTTAGTCCAAACAGCTAATTATGAAATTAAAATCACATGGATATAACTGGACATATTCTATGACTTCTACGCTTTTGTAAGGGATAACACATATTAAATAATAAATCAATCAATCAAGAGACATGTAATGATTTCAGCCTGATTCCCTGACCTGGTCTCTGGCACTTTATTTCTGTGGGGAAGACTGACGTTAGGGTGGAGATAAAGGCCAGCTCAGACTCCTCCTCACAGCTTTGGGCTCGGGGTGGACAGCTAAGCCAGTGACTCCAAAGCCTAAACTCCCCCTTCAATCAAGTTAGAAGAGCAGCTCCTGCCTCTGTCTTTAATACAGAGATTTTAAATAACAGTCTAATAGACAATTAAAAATGGGTTCATCTCTAAAAACTGAAAGTCTAAAGACTAGATAATCCATGATAACTTGCAGCTCTAGCAACCTAGCAGCACAACAGTAAAATTATGAGACCCTTGTTTGAGACAGATCCATGTAGTCTGGGCTGCCCTTGAACTCACTATGTGGCCCAACCTGGCCTTATGACCCTCCTGCTTCTGCCACTTTCCCCAAGGCCTGGAATGACAGGCACGCACCACCATACCTGGCCAGGAAGTTTTTCTTTCTTTTTAAAAAAACTTCATTCATTCATTCATTCATTCATTCATTCATTCATTCATTCATTCGGTATAGGATCTTGCTACACAGCTTGGAATTGTAATGATCTTCCTGTCTCAGCCTCCCCAGTGCTGGGATTACAAGTGTGTGCTACTACGCTAGGTTCCAGGGCCAGCATGGCATGTAGCAACTGGGGATAAAACCTAGGTCCTTGCATTTGCCAGGCAGGTGCTTAGACCACTGAGGTATCTCCCTAGTCCAAGAGTTTTTGTTTTCCTTTTATTACCTTTTTTGTTTTTTTGAAATAGGGTTTTACTATATAGTTCAGGATTGAATTCATGGTGATCCTCCTGCCTTAGTCTCCTGAATGCTGGGATTACAAATGCATGCAATCCCATTATACACAGTAAGGGAGATATTTGTAAGAGTACTCTAACAACAAATATGGTAAAATATTAAGTAAGTGTTTCTAAAAACTACTAGTGCTTTTTTTTTTTTTTTGTGCTTTGATTTTGAGGGAACAATTTTCATATTGTATCTTGATGACAATTTTTTTTTTTTTAGCGAAACTGGGGATTGAACTCAGATCCTTGCATTTGCCAGTCAAGTACTTATCCTACTGAGCCATCTCCCCAGCCCCAATGACATAATTTTTGCTAGTAAAATAACATTAATTATAACTCATTTTGCCTTTTCTTTCTTTCTTTCTTTCTTTCTTTCTTTCTTTTTTTTTTTTTTTTGTATTTTAGTACAGGGTCTACAGGGTCTCACTACATAGATCAGACTTGTAGTGATCTGCCTGTGTTCAGCCTCCCAAGAGCTGGGATTACAGGCGTGCACCACCATGTTCACTATCGTCATCTCAGCGTGCCCCAGGGGCAGGGCTGGCACTAACCCCGGCTGCTGCATCTGCTTAAGCAGGAGCTTTAATCCGCTGAGTTATTTGGCTGGCCCCATTTGCCTTTTATTGCTGTAGACATAACTGGAAACACTTAATAGGAAATCTCAAACTCTGATGCCTTTTATAAAAATGCCATGAAGCCTAGAATAAATACATAACATTCCATCCTTAAACTTGAGGCATACTTACCAATAGTGAGGAAATCTGACTGATACTGACAAGTCATTCCAAAGCCAAAATCTCGCCAAAAACCAGAATCCTTTTTATGAACCTTAGGGTTAAAAGGAAAATAAATTCAATTAAATCCCTTAAGAATTAAAAGGTGTTTTTTTTTTTTTTTGGAACCAGAGATTGAACTCAGGTCCTTGCACTTGCTAAGCAAGCGTTTATTCCACTGAGCCATCTCCCCGGCCCCTGAAAGGGTTTTTTTTTTGTTGTTGTTATTTTTGATGCTGGGGTTAAACCCAGAACCTTTTCGCTAAACTATATCCTCAATTGCTTTGTTATTATTTATTTTGAGACAGGGTCTTGCTAACTCACTAAATTACCTAGGTGCACTTGAAGTTGTCATCTTTCTGCCTCAGCCTCACAGAGTGCTGGGATTACAGGTGTGCAATACTAGATCTGATTTAGAAAATTTAATACATATTGAAACAAGTTACTTCCAAAAGGATACATTTTTCTGTCATTTGTTTGACTGATAAAAATTTACCATTAGCTGGGTGTAGTAGTATATGTTAAATAATTCCTGTACTTTGAAAGGCTGAGTCAGGAGGACCCAAATTTGAGCTCTGCCTGGGCAATTTTGCAAGATTCTGTTTCAAAACAAAAAAAGGCTGAGTATGTAGCTCAGTGCAGCAGATCTGGGGTCAACCCTTAGTACTGTAAAGGAAAGCAAAAACTAACATCTGCTTAAATTATTAAATCCTGACAGAACAAAAATACAGTAATCTGTATGGGCAAAAGATTGTCACTAGCCAGTGAACTCAGGCCCGGTGTGCTCACATGGTGAGATTATCCTTGATCAAGTAGTCTGCGCATGGTCAGATGCTCTGGAGGATAAGAGCCATCAACTCAACACAGATTTAGCTGGCTACCCAGCAAGCAAACATGGACTATTCAGGTTGTGCCAAGGAATACATAGAGTATGGGGACACTCAAGTGACCAAGAGCCAGGTTACCTGCTTGCTGTGAGAGATGGCCCAAGAACTGGCATGAGACAAATTCAGGCTGTGCACATTTGTTGCTAACGGTTTGCGGCTTTCACAACACAGTGAGCTGAGCAGTTACCACAGGGCTGTGGCCCCAAAGCCTGCAATACCTCTGGTGGGCTCTTTACAGAGTGTCATTTGTTTGACTGATAAAAATTTACCATTAGCTGGGTGTAGCAGTATATGTTAAATAATTCCTGTACTTTGAAAGGCTGAGTCAGGAGGACCCAAATTTGAGCTCTGCCTGGGCAATTTTGCAAGATTCTGTTCCAAAACAAAAAAAGGCTGAGTATGTAGCTCAGTGCAGCAGATCTGGGGTCAACCCTTAGTACTGTAAAGGAAAGCAAAAACAAGGCTCAGACCTGCCTGTGCTTCTCCACCACAAGGGGAGCCCGCTTTGTGCCGTCCCCCAGCCATCCTGGGAGTCCAGAAGCAGTTCTGCCCAGAGCCATGTCTCCAGCCATCACTTGGCGGGCTCCTTCCTGTCCCTAACATCCCTTCTCAGGAAATCCTGACTCCCCCCCCAACCCCCGCAATTGGCCTTTAAAACTCAGCCTGCTTTAATGATCTGCATGCCATTTACTATCTCATCTTCTATTCTGCTTCTAGCACAACAAAGATCTGGTGCACCACTATCCACAGGGTTCTGGGTTTGGGGTGAACAGTGCTGGGTGAGGAGAGAAGCCAGGCGCACCGGTACCATGCACAAGAGCAGGCCCTGGGGCATGCTGTCTACCTGTGCTGCCAGGGGTGCACATGGACCCCCACGCAGCCCAGCTGTGCCATCACCTGTGCAGAGCATTCTGTGGGCTCACAGGCAGGCAGAGCAGGGCAGTGCCGGGCACACAACTCACTAGCCATTGTGATCATTAACATGTTGCCCAGAGCACGCACCACTTCCACTGCCCTCATCTGCAGTGCTGCAGTCACAGCTCAGCTCCTCGCCTCTCCCTTCACAGTATTTGCTGCAGCCCTGTAATTTATTCTCATTTCACTGCTGCAGGCCTGCTTGCGCCCCATGCTGCCAGCATCTGTGCCTGGTGCCCTGTGTGGGGGACCCTGGCATGGAAGTCCTGGGCTAGAAGATGAGCCTGCCTCTCACCAGCCTCAATCACATGGCTGGGACTTTGGTTTTTATTTTTGTGTGACGCTGGGGATAGAAAGGCTTTGAAGGGCCAGGGAGATGGCTCAGTAGAATAAGTGCTTGCCTGGCGAGTGCAAGGGCCTGAGTTCAATCCCCGGTTCTGAAGAAAAAAAAAAAAAAGGCTTTGAGTTTTAAAAGCATTAATTTCACAGTGGGGGCGGAGGAAGGATTATATAACTTTTGATTTATTCCTAGTAAGGATGACCATTTCAATGTTTATTCTGAATTATGTGTACTTTTAAAAATATCCATGTGTTACTTCTTTTCCAAGTTTAAAAGAAAGTAGAGCCAGTTTCTGTCTTAAGTGAGGGGCCCAAAGCCGAGTGAAACTGAGCAGCACGTGAGGGCACTGGCGGTAGGGGAGGCTCCGCACTCGCCTCACGAGTCAGCACCTGCGCCCTTTCGCCTCCACTCCCCCATCAGACAAGAGTGCTGGTCTGCATCTGTGGGCCTTTCTTCCATTTGGTTCTCTTCTTTGGTTGTCTGGTTTTCCAATGAGGTTTAATATATAAACTTTCTATTTTATAGTAACTTTAGATGTCCAGGAAAATGACAACACAGCAAGCAGTTCTCCTATACACCCCACTCAGTTTTAGCTGTTCTTAACATCACCTAAAGCCGCCTGCACTGCTGTGGTATGTCTGTGAGAACCAAGGAACCATGGCTGACACATTGCTACTGGCTGAGCTCCAGACTCTGGATTCTGCCAGTTTGCCCTTTTGGATCTTTTCTGTTCAGGATCCAGGGAGGGACCACACTGTGTTCAGCTGTCTGTCTCCTCTCGGATACTTGTTTCTCTGATGACTGAATGTGAGGAAGGGTGGCTAGGCACTGGGTTGTATGGGCAGCACCTCTTGAGCACACAGAGACCACCATTTTCTGACTGCTGGGCCATAACGCCTTGCTTGTCACCTTATGCCAGGGACACACACATTGACATTCTCATCTCACCAATTGGGTAAGGAGCATTTGCTGGGTTTTCAAAAGCTTATTTTCTGATTTCTTTCATACATGCAGATTAAGGCTGGGGATTGGGCTCAGCGGTAGAATGCTTGCCTAGCAAGCTGGAAGCCCTGGGTTTGGTACTTGGCACCAAAAGAACAAAAAATAAACCTCTCCCCCCCAAAACCCCAAACAATTCAACCTATGTGCAGATTAAGAAACTGACCTCATTAAGCTTGATAGCCCAAATCGTTTGATAATAACAATAAGCTTTTCTTCTGGATGGTTAACAACCTAAGTTTGCAGACCAAAATTAAAAAAAAAGAAGGATACAAGGAAAGCCAACATTTTGGCCCTAGCCTTCTAAGGTCAATTAAGACTCAGGACATATGAGAACTTGTACTGTAACGTCATGTACCTCGGTAGTGTCCCAAATTTTCTGATCAAGAAGATTATGGGGCCAAAGAGGAAAGTGATCGATGATGTTGAGTGTGCCTAAGGAGAGTCACATGGGGAGAAGACACTCTCTCAGGCTTTCACAGAGAGCACACTGGCCAAGCAATGGCCGTGACTGATCCATATGGCTGCACTGACAAAGGTTCTACAATCTGAGGTACAGGATCTCAGGATAAATCCTGAGGGCATTTCACTGACCTTCTCAGACCAAAAAGCTACAACTCTTGTTGCATAGGCCCTGCTTTACCTTGGTCTTAACCATCCAGTAGAAAAGTATGAAGACGAAATATAGGAAATAAAGCCATGCTGTTAAGTTGAGCTGTGGGGGACTCAGGTCAATAATTTCTGACATTGCCAGTTAAACAGAAGACCCAATGCTATTATGGGCTACTGGACTCTTTCAGAATATTTTGCTGAGTTTACACACCTATAATATTCAATAACGGAACTTAGAAAAAATGGGGTATACCTATGAATGTCCATTTTGTATTTGTGAATTCAAAGTGGTTGGGATAGATATATAGTTACGTTCTCTTAATGAATAGAATGATTTGTTCTAATGGTGTTTGTAAACAGGATCACAAGTCCACATCTTGTACAGCAATTAACCACTAAGAAGAATATATGCAGTGTATTATTTGTTGAAACTGTACTTCCGATTTGATTTGAAACTGTCTCATTGCTATCTGTTTATCAATAAAACTTTGAAAAAAAAAAAAAAAAAAGAAACTGACCTCAGAAAGTGAGCATGGGATGCTGGTGACCACAGAGGGAGGGGTTGGGGAGCAGGGGGCGGGAGAGGCTGACGGGAGGTAGTTACAGTGAGACAGGAAGAAGAGGCTCTGGGTGCTACACTTGGGGTGGCTACATACAGCATGGATGTACCATGTGTTCAGAGCTAGAAGACAGGATTTGGACTGTTTCACCACAAGGAAAGGTAACTGTTTGAGGAACTGGGTATGTTTACCCTGATTTGAATATTTCACAATGTGTATGTGTAAACGTGATGCTCCATTACGTACATACAATTCTTTTAGTTAACAAATACATGTAAAAGAAGTTCATTTCTCTTTCTACGCTACTCTCTGGAAGGGACTTCTCTCGCTCCACTTTTGGGAGTGGCTGCTTCCTGGACTTCTGTAAACAGGACTCATCTCTTTCTCATCTAATCCAGCAGTCCCTCTACTATTTATTCACCCTTTCATTTCTACCGGTAGGACTCAAGGGTATTTATTTTATGCTGTGGGTTATAATCCAGGCCCAGGACATTTATTTGCTGTTCAGGCTGTCCCAGCATGTTGGCTCTTGTGCCCCTTTGACAGACCCTGTCCTTTGTTATGTGACATTTTCTTACTTTAGGGTGCTATGAAACATGCTGAGGTCCTCGTGGGCACTGCCTGCTCCAATCCTACTCTGGCTGCCTTCCGAGGAGCACTGGCCTCTTCTGTTGTGGAACAGTACTAGAAACCTGGCTACGGGAACTGGTGCTTGCTGCTCCTGGGACGTCCTCGCTGCTGGGAGACCTGAGTCAAACACACCTGGATATACCACACATGTGCCCCACTCACGTACCCTTTCGTTCCTAAATCCCCAAGGGCTACTCATTTATCAGATGTCTCATCAACAACGACTTAGAATTTGATCAAGTATCCTACTGTGTTCCTGCTGTTGATCACTATTTTCTAGTCTTATTCAATGTCCCTTTCTCATTCTGTTGAACTAGAAAGAAAAAGTTTCTAAGAAAATTGAACGCTTGAATGTTCAAAAAGTCAGTTTTGCCTTCAAAACGAAGTGGGCCAGTGAGATAGCTTAGCGGACTAGGCCTGTTTATGCAAGCAGATCCCCTGCACCACATGCTGCACCAGCCCTGAGCCAGCCACCAAGTCCGGGTGTGGTGGGGCATGCCTATACAGGGTCTAGAGGTTCTCACTACACAGGACAGTCTTGTAGTGATCCTTTTGTTTCCAGCCTCCCCAGTGCTGGGATTATAGGTGCATGCCACCACGCCCAGTCTCAATCAACTTCTCAGCGCAAAAACCTGGTCCCAGTGTCTGCCCAAGCAGATACTTTAATCTGCTGAGCTATCTAGCTGGCCCTAAGATAAATTTATTTTAAGTTATTTTCTACTTGTATTCATATTTTCATGTGTTAATTTTTCTGTTCACTAACATTTCATGATACTGGTTTCCTAAAATAAATGGTTAGTCTTCACTAGCTACCACTTATTATTGAAATCCTTGCTGAAAGACCCATAGCTAAGAGCCATGACTACAGGACCTACCTCATGTGAGAACAACATTGGCAGGGGTTGCAAAGGGCTATCTGGGCTGTTTGGGGAGGTCTGCGCTTTCCTCAGCCTGGCCTTGTTGCCATCCTACAGACTTCTCAGAACCTATGTCTGCTGACAGCTCCTCTCATTTTCCAGTACTAATGTGCCTATTTCTTTTCTTCTCTGTCTCCCTCTGACTCTCCTGGCAATGTTGGGGGTTAAGCTCAGGTCTTCACACTGAACTAATCCCTAGCCCTTTCGGTATTTTTTATTCTGAGAGTCTTATCTTGTCATTAAGTTTCCCAGGCAGGGCTTGAACTTGCAATCTTACTTCCTTAGCCTCCAAGACTGCTGAATTACAAGTACGTGCCACCACACTCATTCCTATTTCTCTGTAATCATTTATTTTATAGCTTTGAGGTGGGAGAGGAGTTTGCCAATCTGGTCCTCCTCATATCTGCATTCCTACAGAACACTACCCTACAGATGAAGCAAAGGGATACATGTGTGTTAGGATGATGCTGACGGATGTTGGCATGTTAGTGGAGTTGTTTATTTTCAGTGCTGGGAGTGAAACCCAGAGCATCACATGTGCTAGGAAATCATTCCATCCCGGCCCAGTGGTGGAATTTTTAAAAATTAAAATTTCAGTGTTACTACAGTAAGCCAGCAGAGATGACTGCAATTTCTACCTAGTGGAACAAGACATTTTCTTTGTGGTCTATATTGCTCCTTATCACTTAATTCTGACAGCATTTTACCGCGGGTCAGAGGTGTGAAAGAGAATGGAAACAATGTGTTCTGTCATGGAAACTCCTGTCTGCTCCTTGTACAACACGCAGAAGGTTCTCTAGAGCCTTTCATACCAACAGTGTCAAAGTCTCACCAGCTGCTGCTCCACGGCGGGTGGGGCGTCCTGGTTGGCATAAACGATGGCAGGGTTGTAAAGGCTGAACACCACGGGGTAAAACACCTTTCTACCTGTAAATTAGAACATTTTATATCACCTAAAGAGGTATAAAGTGAAGAGCATCTTTATTACTATATAGACTTTAGTGAAGCCTTAAAATCATACAGTATCATTATTCAAGCTATACAACATCATGTTGACTGGATGAACATGATGATGATGTTTTTAATAGGTAGGCAATGAAACTGCAACTCTAAAAACCAAAACCAAACCAGACTAGGGGAACTTCATGTGTCCAGCCCCTTTGACTCCAGGGAGATACACAGATGTAGTCTCTCCAGAGCTTTTTATTACTCATTAGGTCATCTAGCCAGCAGTATGAGATATAGCTTAATCTCTGACCATCACCAAGAAACTTTCAAACTTCTGTTAAACCCATGCTTCTATGAGAACGTTTAATATAGCAAACATAGAATACTGTACAATAAACCAAGATCTGGGAGGACTGGGAAGACAGGGATCCTGTCATAGCTTTTGTAGAGGACCTTGTCATCAGTGTTGAAATTGAGAGCCTGCAGGGCCTTGAGGCTGATGGCACCTGGCCACTTGCCATGCATGAGAGGCCCTTGGCAGGCCTGGCAGCTGGAAGTGCCAGCTGCTCAGAGCCTGTGAGGGACACGCAGCCTTCTTACACCAGAGCCCAACGGACACCAGGCCACTTCCTTAAAACCCACTTAGGGTCAGGAAGATGCAACTTCCCAGAAGCAAAGGTATTTCTGGATATAAAAATGTCTTTTACATTGGGCAAGTATGTCTCCTTCAATGTGCATTTTAAAGTTCATGTCTGGAATAACAAAAACAAACCAGACCCACATTTACTCATCAGGCTCTCAGAAAACTCTGGACAGCTTTCCCTAGCCAAGGCCATTAGTCTTTGGATGCTATGAAAAATTCCATGGGAAAAACATGGACTATGAGACTCTTTCATTTAAAAATTACTTGTTTTTGTTTGTTGGTTGATTTGTTTTTTTGCGAAAGGCTGGCCTATGCAGTTCAGGCTGGCCTTGAACTCACTTTCTACTCCAGGTTGGTCTTGAACTAGCAGTGATCCTGCTGCCTCAGCCTCCTAAGGGTTGGGATTATAGGCATACATCACCACACCAGGCCTAAAAATTACTGTATTTTTAATTGACAATAATTGTATATATTTATGCATCCAATGTGATATTCTGATATATACAATTTTGTGTGACGATTAAATCATGCTAATTAACATAGCCCTCACTTCACAACTCACATACTTATTTTTTTATGGTAAGGGCATTTCATTCACTTATTTATGTCTTTTTGAGACAGGGTCTTGCTATGTGGTTCAGACTGGCCTTGAGCTAACTCTGTAACCCAGTCTGGTGTTGAACTTGCCATGATCCTCCTGCCTCAGCCTCCCAAGTGCTGGGATGACAGGCTTGTGCTACCACGCCCGGCTGGTAAGGGGATTTCAAATTGACTTAGTCATTTTCAAGCACACAGTACACTATTACCATCTATAGTCTCCATGTTGTAGAATGTTCCTGAATCACCCCAATAGGTGTGGTCTGGAGGCCACACACTGTCTGAATGGTTGTCACGTGTGCTTGTCAGTGTGTGCCAGCACATGTGTGCTTGAGGCCACCCCAGACTGAGTTCCTCAGACCCGCATGTTTCCACACCACCTGGGTGGCTCATTTTCTGTCCAGAGTTGCTTCCCTCTTTTCAAGTTTCTTGACCTCTACTCCTTTGCATTTCTTTACTTGGCCTCACATGTAGCAACTTGAATTTGGCTCCATGAGAATGAAGGATATAAACTCAGAGGATCAAATGTTCAACTGACTCAGTTTTCCAGTTAAACAGTGCCTAATACCACTTACAAAAGAATATCCCAGGGTTTAATTAAAACTCCCTTTCCCTCGGATTAACTTGATTCAAAACATGGGACATGCCACACTGTTCTCAAGACTATACTCAGCTCATCTACTCATGGTTTACGCACCTGGCTCAGCATTTAACCGGCAGCTGTTAAGGAATTCGGCTGAGAAATATATATCAACATCACAGAAAAACATCAAGACCTCTCCCTTGTCCCAAGCTTGGGCACCCACATTTAGTCCTCGTCCTCGATTAAATTCTTCATTCAATGAGACCAAGGTGTAATTGTGAAAATTAGACTCACTATGAGGAAAGCACATACAACAAATGATGAGTCCCACTTAGTTACAAAGCTCTTCCTTCAACAGAACTTACAAACATGGTTTACACTCCAGATATTTCATGATGTTGGTTCTCATTCATGTGGGGAAAGGCAAATGCCAGCTTCTCTGGCACAAGGCCCCAGGGTGGGAGGTTCAGAGTGCCCACAGGACAGGGGCAGACATTCTGGTAGTGGGAGGCTTAGTAGGTGCTAAGTGGCCATTGCTCACGGAGCCCTCAAATACCTAAGCAGGAGATGACGACACACCATGCATGGAGAAGCCACCATGTGTCTGGGAATTGGTCACACACGCCAAAGACACACGTGCACTCTTTCTCACCCCCCCCTCTGCACACGCTCTGGCTGCAGGCTCCTCCTTGATGCCACATGGGCATGGCTGTTCTCCTCAGCACCCCCAAACATGCTTGTTTACACATCCCCCTCCACAACAGCAGGCTTCCATCTTGCCCACTACTATGGCACATGTCCATCCAAAGTTGGAGTTCAATGCATTTCTGCTGAGTGAACGAGTGAGCGGCAGTTCTGCAGAGAGATGGCTATGTCTAGAGCCATCAAAGAAGATACCAGAAGTGGAATGTGAGTTACGCTTGTGTTGAAATCCTGCATTCAGTGTTGAATGTAAAGGTCATTCCAAGTAATTACTCTTAAAAGCAGAGAAAATAGAAAGCGTCTTAGAGGAAGCATTTAGGGGTCAGCCCAGTCGGATGGTAACAAAGGACCCTACAACAGTCTGGATGAAGCCTAAGATGGGAATTGAAGGAGTCAGACTGACGAGCACCTTCTGTACAAGGCCATGGAATGCAGGCCCCAAGGCCAGGGTGGTCGGTGGTATTTTATGCTAGGAAAGTGGTTCTCACAGGCAGGCTTCCAGTCTCACAATGTCAGCTCCTCCTGGGAACATGTGGCTTTCTGCCTGGGGTGGAGGGTAGACTGAGTCCTCTCTGCCTTCCCACCAGGCCGCAAAGCCACTGTACCAGGAGGTAGCGGGACCCAACAAGAACGTGGAGAAAGCCGTTCTTCCCAGGGCACAGTGTGTGCCATGGAGACAGAAGCATGATCACACTGTTTTGGGGGCCTGGGACTCCTTTCCCCACCTTACAGCATGAAAAGAATCTCTCCTTTCTTTGGGGGAAACTGCCCCTTACCCTCCCATTGCCCAGCACCACCTGGAGGCCCTGGGCCCAGAACACCCTTACTCCATCCACCCCACCACAGTAATTTCCTGAGTGGGGATCAGGCTCAAGTGAGGCCAATCATACCCCCACCCCACCTGGCCACAGTGATTGGCTAAAGAGTGGGAAAATGTCCTTCCCTGGGATTTTCTCAACTGGAGCTCAACTGGAGGGAGAAAGCGCTTTCCTCTCTGATGGCAAAGCTGAGAAGTGTGAGCACAGAGCCGCCAACAGCCACATCCCTCAGCATGTGGAAGAAGCCAATCTGCAACAGGAGAAGGAAGTCAACATGCACAGAACAGCAAGGTAATGGTGAGAGAACTCTGATGGTATCCGCATCTCTGGTCCCAGCCCTGAGACCCCAGAGCTGTTCTGAGCTTCTCCGAGTTTGCCTGTAACAGTCCTTTCAGTTCTGAGAGGTATCCCAGATGCAATTCTGCTCCACCCTCAAGCAGCTCAAGGTAAGTTTCCACCACCTGCCACAGAAGTATCCTGACAGCAAGGATGACTGCAGAAGTACCACAGGGCAAGCACCTGATACTTAGCAATAAGGAGGGAAGAGAGGAAGGAAAGACATGGAGGGAGAGGTAGTTGGTTAGGGGAAGGGACAAATGCAAGTAGGAAGTAACTCTTCAGACACACACAGATGAGTAAGACTCAGCTCTTGGGTATTAGGCTGAGAGGCCTGTGAGAACGGTCTGACTCTGAGCTGAAAGAGGGACACCAAGGGCAGGTGTGGAAGGGGAAGAGGCTGAGGGTGCTGATGTATGTCAGCACTGTGAGGGTCCCAAAGGCCATGCAGGTGCCCCAGCTGGGGCCTGGCAGCCTCCAATCACCCGGACCCCTACGAAGTATACCTGGGACACAGAAGGTGGGCTTGGGGTTACTGAGAGGCTGGAGACAAGTGGTGGCCCAGTCTGGCACTCAGCGATGGCCACTAGAAGGGCAAGGCGAAGGAGCATGGGAAGGATGTAGCGCTTCTATGGCTAGGGCAAACAAGCCATGTGCATGCTGCTATTACCTCACACTTAAGATACCTGCACTTTTCAATATAACATTTAAAAAGCAAGTACTAGTTAGGGCATCATGTAAAAAAGCAATCCAAGGTTAACAGAGAAAAGACCAAATTTGCCAAGTGGGCTGTATCTTTGGGCCCTCAATCTAGAGAAAAAGGTTGAGATGCCAAAGCGAGAAAAATGATACATTTAGAGAATGAAAATTCATCCCTTCAAACCTCTCAGTACCTACTATGTACCAGGTACCCAACAGGCTGCTGAGTGACCCAACTGCTGCCCCAGGAGGTCTGACTGTGAGAGGACAGCACTGTGACAGCAACTGCGGCACCCTGCAGAATCAGAGGCTCTAGTTACACGGGTACCTGGGCGTCGTCTAGGGTGAGAAGAAGCAGAGCAAGCAAATGGAAGAAAGGAGACAAGGAAGAGCCAGCTCAGGAGATTAGGACAGCAAAGCGCGGGGCTTGGATCTAGAAAGGGAGAGAAGCAAGTATCTAAAGGGGGGTGGCTCCCAATGACAGCATCCTGACCAGCACTGGGGCCTGCTGGGCAGCTAGCAGAGGACAGCTGTGCAGGGCTGCTGTGAGATGAGGAGCTCCACGCCACCACCCCACGCGCGGCGGCTGTCCAGGAGCACGAACACGCTAGATGCCTGAGATCATCATTCTTCCAATGTCACCTATCAAGGACTTCATTATGGACATGACTCACCAACCTTGTGACAGATTCTAGGATAGATTTGACTTCAGACAGTCCTTCTTTACCAAAGTACACCACTGTGAGATGGATCCTCTTGTCCTGATGAATACAAACTTCCCTAGCAGAATTGAAAAACAAAGTTTAAGAAAACACTGAGCAATCAGGTGAAGCTATAACAAAACAGTAAGCTCTAACGAAAACAATAAGCAACTTGCTGCTGACAGAGGGAAGTCGCAGGACGCATCAGAGGCATAATGGGGGCAGCGCTGCCCAATATCAGATATATCACAGCACATCCTGAATCTACACCAGCTGTGGCCTCGGGGGCTGCCGGAGCCATCCCACATTACAGCTCGACTGCAGCATGTTTTTGAATTGCTTTGGGACTGGTTTCAGAGTCAAATTATAAACTATTCAAGGGAGTAAGTTCAATTAGTTCAAAGCCAAATAAATAAATGTTCAAGTTTTGGATCAAGAATTATTTTTCCTCAAACTGGCTAATTCCCAAAATCATAGAATATCATCAAGGAATACATATTTGCCATGACTGAAAATGTTTACTATAAGCCAGATGTGGTGGTACAAACCTTGGGAGACTGAGGCAGGAAGATTGCTATAGTCTGAAGCTAGCCTGGGCTACACAGTGAGTCCAGGCCAGCCTGAACTACAGTGAGACCCTGTCTCAAAAAAAAAAAAAAAAAAAAAAAAAATTTACTGTAGGGATAATACAGTCCCTTCTGAAGGCAATTCCAAGGAAAACAATGCTTTAGGGAATCACCTCTCAAGAGAGCTATTTCCAACAGATAAAATCCATTCATAAGTACAACTCCTAGATATTTTGCCACAGAATAGCATTAGCTGCCTTTTCAATGTAAGAATAAAGGTTAGGATCACAAAGCAATGAAAGTAGCATATTTAAAGCTGCTAAAACATGGAAATGTTAACTTTAAAAAGCAATTTTTCCTCAAATTGTTATGCTAATAGTGTACTATTCCCCTATTCCAATAGTGTAGTTGTTAACATTTCAGCATTCTAAAGTGCCAAAATTTAATGACCAAAGAAAAGGAATAGAAATACTCTACTTCACAAAATGGAAAAACCTCACATTTTAGCTCAATATTTATATTTTTAAATTTAAAATATAAATTTAATTTTAATTTACTTCAACCTTAGATTCTTCTTCAGTTTTTCTTGGAAGACAAAAATGATTTTGATTTGGATATAGTTTACAGGTGTATACATCTATCAAAAGTCCTGAAAATGTAAGTTACTGTCCTTAAAACATCCTTAAAATAGATTTTATTGAATGTAAGTTAGGCATTAATAAAATACTTTTTACAAATGCAAGCTTGACATAAAATGAATTCACATACAATTGTCAGTCATTGAATTCACTTGCTAATAGTTCCCACTCTTAATTTATAATCATATTGTTAAGGCACTATATGCTCTTCAAGGAAAAAGATAATTTAAAAAATAAAACCTATAAGATTATTTTATAATCCCACTTTGGGAAGATAAATCAGAAAAAGCTGCATAAAATGTGATTTTCTAGAAAAACTAAGGCAGGCCTTCGGCCCGACAGCTACCTGAAGCTCTGCATGAACTGTATGAACGCTTCTGTTCTTTGGGCAAGAGGCACAATGATGTTGATGATGGCTCTGCTGATGTCAACCACATCACTCTTCACCTTCATGAGAGGCCCAAAAGGGCGGAAGAGAGTCACGTGTCTGTACTCCATCAGATCTGCTTTCTTGAAAAAGAGCTCGTACTGTGTGCCTTTATCTCTCTCAGTGCGGTAGTAACCTAAAGTAAAAAGTTTAGAACAGAGTCATATTTGTGTCAGTTTACAAACTCAACAGGAATACAGACTTTACTTAAAGATCAACATATGGAGCCAAACCTGTAGTTTCTACCTGTGAAAACAGTCCCACAGGGTAATCAGCACAACCATTCCTTTAAAAGTAGCGATTAAAAATAGGCTTACTGCTCTGCTATATTATTCAACTCATAAAATATGTTCCCAAGAATACAGTGGTGCCTCAGTTCATGAACTTAATTCATTCCATGATTCTGGAAAAGTTGGCCACATTTGGGTTCATACAGAAAAAATGGCAGCAGTTTTGTCTGCCACCTGAGGCAGAGTTTGCAAACAAAAATAAATTTTGCCACACTCTTCTGTTTCCAAACCAGAGTGCTCACAAACAAGAGTTCATGACCACAGCTACCACTGTAATTGTCCCTTTTTACATATGACTTTCTTAAGGCTGAGGAGACAGCTCCGCGGTCTACGCGCCTGTCTGGTAAGCGCCAGGACCCAGGTTTGATCCCAGGTACTGTGTTGACCTTGCACTGAGATGGCGAATGAAACTGGGCATGGTGGTGCACACCGTAATCCCAGCTCAGGGGAGGCTGAAACAGGAGGATCACTACGAGTTCCAGCAGCGTAGTGAGACCCTGTACCAAATAAATAAATAAAAATAAAAGATTAAAAAAAAATCTGTTCAACATACATATGACTTTCTTCATACCAAAGTCTATTAGCACAGTAACCATATGAAAAATACACTATTTCTAGCAATATTAAATTTGAGTCCAAGAGTCACAACCTCTATTGCTTGTTTTCACTCACAAAAATAAATCAGAGCTTCATGGCAGCCACCGAAAACCTCTAAGATGAAAGGGTCAGCACTGACAGACTGCTCTGAGTGACACAGGAAAAGGAAACAGTAAAAAGACACTGTGGTGTACAGGTATTACGCATATGTGTGTGTATACATATTTTTTCACTGAGTGAAGTCAAAGGAAACTAGTACAAATTTTAACACAGTGAGCGGAGATAAATATGGAAAAATATGGAAGGGGAGTGTGTTTTTGATACTTTTTTTCTTTCATTTTTGGTTTTTTTTTGAGACAAGAGTCTCACTGTATAGTTCAGGGTGGCCTCAAACTTGTAGCAATCCTCTTGCTCCAAAGTGCTGGGATTGCAAGCAAGCGCTACCACACTCAAGCTGGACAGCCTGAGTTGTAAGAGTGATAGGAAACGATTATAGACTTCAGATGTGTGAGCCACTCAGTCAATATCTGGGAATAAATAAAATGGTGGAGGGACAGATGTGCCCCAGCCTTGAGGCCTACTGCCCAGCACAGAGACAAATCAGGAAGTGTGCAGACCATACACCACAACCAGTCTGAAGGGTGCAGGGTAGTGGTGACAGAGCAGAGGAAGCACTGCCATCTAAACTTGGGGCTTGGCAGCTTCCTGAAGAAGTGCCATCTGTGCTACAGCCTGGCAAGGGCAGGCCGTGCTCAGGGGTTGCCAGCAATGACTCTAGGGGATGTGGGGCAAGGGGGATGGACAGAGGAGGCAAAGAGAGTCACGATCAGGTTCCATGCAGAAAACCCTGAGAGTATGAAGCCAAGCAAAGCTAAGCACAGGCTGCAGAACATGAAACAGGTGCGGCTTCCTTCTCCCAAGCAAAACTGTGAGGACATCACACATGTTCTTAACTCACTTCCTCTGCAGCTTTCAATTCTGCCACAAGCTATGGAGTGAGAAGACAAAAGGCTGAGTCTGCAGACAAGTCATTAGTGCTTTTAGGGAAATAACCCATGACAAATGGGAAGAAATAACATTAAGCAGAGTCCATAGGGAGAAGACAGTTGGGAGGTGCCGGCCCAGCAGGACGCCCTGCCTGCCAGCTCTGAAGGTAACATGGGCCCGTGCAGTGCAAGAAGAGCCAGGATGACTTGGAGTGAAAAAGCAAAGCAAAATACAAGGAAAAATTATATGTATAGGCTGTTTATAGACCCAGAGGATTTTAAAGAAAGATTTATATCCAACATGGTTTTAACCCTTTAATTAAATGTCTAGTGGGAGATGTTATAATGGAGATGTGTAGAGATTTAGAATTATTTACGTTTAAATCAATCAACAAATATCTTAAATTTATGGTAGTGTTCCTTGACCTTTGAATTAGGTCCCATCTTAAAAATGCCATGCCTTTTCTGCAATCTGTATAGAAAAATTTGCCATCCTTTGCCTTTCCAAAAACTCAAAACCTAAAATCATGCATGTCCCTTTGATGTTCTGGCCCATGCTTCTCCCTTGTCCAAAACAGAAAACAACTGCAAGTCTATAAATGAGTTTTTCTCTCTCCTTATCAAATGATTTTCAAATCTTCAGCCTTAGTTCAGACATTTTTAAGAACATGAAAAGGAGCATCAAGATGAAGTAAGATAGGAATGCAAATCCTATTCAAATAAGCACACACCCAGCACACCTTGGTGGTTGGGATTCTCGTAGAGACATGGACCGTTCTTTTCTGGCCCTTATTCTATATTTTTATTATGATTTCATTATCACCATTTAAAAAATAGACTTAGAATTTTTGATGGAATGAAAGGGGAAAAACTGTTATAATACTCTGGTAATGATTGACAGGTAAGAATAAATACTGGCATACGGTCCTACTATGTAACCATTTATCAATATATTTTTTGTATTACCTTCTATGAAGTCATTTTCGTTAAATATCAGTTTCTCTCCAAGGGGACCCTCCTCATCTTCCTGTTCATCCTCTTCCTCAGGATTATTAAGGACTTCCAATCCAGCTTCAATAACTTCTACCAATTCATCTCGTTTGTCTTTCCTAACCGGCTTTTCTTCAGGATGACGGGTGAGACCCATTTCCAACTGAAAAACTTTCATTAAGGTAAAGCTCTCAAAGGGAATGACACCGTACTCACTGGGCAGCTTGGCTCCTACGCTGACTTCGGCCTTGTCGATCTGGGAGTGAAGGAACTCTAACAGGTCACCAGGGGCTTGCTCGCCGTTGCTGTGGTAGCCTATGCCATTAGCCCCCATGTTCCTTCTCTCCTGCAGTGACCTCATCTTCTCACTCATTTCTTGTAATTCTTGCTTTAATTGGGCAATCTGGCGCTTCAGACTGGCTGCCCTGGTTTGATAATGTTCCTCTTGCTCCTGTAAGAGGGCTTGATAATACTCTTTACCGTAACTTTCCCCGACAACCCCGGGAAGAGATGCATTTCCATCGGTCTGGGGGGCACATTCCAGAAGATAGAGAAACAGCACCAAGCTGCAGAGCAGAGCCAGACCCAGCAGCAGCCAGTGGGCACGGGTGGGAAGAGCGGCGCCTCTTCTAGACATTCTCAGCAAGGAGCATTTGCCTATGCAGACAAGCTCTTCGCTTGTTCATACCTTCAGCAAAAAGCTATCAAGATTTAGAAACAAAATCAGGATTTCCATAAAAAGAACCAAAATTAATTTTGCTGCAGCTAAAAATCTCTTTCTTCAATAGTCACGACTACTTGCAGAAATGAGAAATTAAGCACACACTTCCTGTATCGTTACCATGATCTCCAGAATGTGGCAATCTGGCCTCGAATCCGTGGTGGGAGTGGAGACTTTTCTGCAAGAAACAGATCAGGATCAATCAGAATTTAGCTTCCTTAAGTACATCACACTGCTGGCAGCTTCAACAAGCATAGCAAGGTGACTACTAAAGGGAGCGTACCATGAGAGGTGCTAATGTCACTGGGATAATCAGGTAATACTGATACAGATCATTATGAAAAAAACTTATGAAATACCAAAGTGTTAGGTATAACAGTTTTAACTAGTATATCTAGACCCCTATAACCTCCTGAATCAAAGAAATATTAAAATTATATCCAATAGAAATATAACTACTAACACAATATTTCAATTTAACACCATTAGGATCTGAACTATATATTGTTTCTATTATAGTACTAAATAGCCTTTTCATGATAGTTTCTTAACTTATTCAATTTAAATACTCAACCTCAATAATTTCTATTGCTCAACTTCACTGATCTAGGAGCCTTAAATTAAGTGTTGTGTGGGTGTGTGGGCACTTTCAAAATGTCACAGACATCTGGAAAACACATTAAGAAAACATTTTTATATCCAGAGTCCTCTGGTAAATGGTTTGAACATTAGGTCACACAATTCTTTCCACTGTATTACCCAGCAACAAATTTCCTTCAAGTTTGGAAAGGTTTAGAGAGTATAAAGAAGAAACACAAGTATTTTAGTCATGTTTATCTGTTGAGAAAAAATTTTCAAAAATTTATAAAATGGTATGCTACCTTTCATGGTACAATCAGCTGTGTGAGCTCCCTGACTACAGTAGGATTCTTAACTCTAAAATCAGACAGGTCAACTTGGGAGAGGGAGGGAGGGAGGGAGGGAGGGAGGGAAGCTTTCCCTCTGACAGAGTGCAGGGCTCTGGGCTAGATGGCAGGGTTCACTGGACCTCCAGCACACGAGATCCCTGGGGAGCATCAGAACTAGCGTCTCCCCAGGGATCAGGATCCTGGATGCCTACTGTGGAAAACGCTACAGTCTGTTTTCTATAGCGGAGATCTCAAGAACTGTAGGACAGACTGAAACTTCCTATGGCCAACAGAACATAAATAATGAACCTAACTCCCCTTAGCCATTTAGATCCTTGAAAAAGTTAATTCAGGGGCCGGGGAGATGGCTCAGTGGAATAAGTGCTTCCCTGGCAAGCGCAAGGGCCTGAATTTAATCCCTGGTTCTGCAAAAAAAAAAAAAAAAAAGTTAATTCATTACAACTCTTTTACTGTAACAGCATTTTTCTTACTGATAGCAAATATTATTATTTGTGTGTGTGTGTGTGGAACCAGGGATTGAACTCAGACCCTTGCCCTTACCAGGGAAGCGCTTATTCCACTGAGCCATCTCCCCAGCCTGCAAATCTTATGTAAGAGATGTGGAAAAAACTGACAAAACTTTTAAGAAATACTATCTAATTTATAAATAAAGATACAAATCTAATATTATTTCTAGAAGTTTACCATGCTTCAACCACAATCATATGCTACAGCACATGGAAGTATTTGAGGGGGCCTGTCCATTAGCTCAGTTAAGTGACTGCTTAAGCAAAGCAATCAGGATGTTGTGGTTCAATCCCCAGATCCTCAAGCCTTACCAGACCTGCCCTGAAGGCATCCTGAGCCAGCCAGAACAAAACAAAACAAAACAAAACAATTCTTCTTAGGAAGTACTTGAATATCATTACTGAGAAGATAATCTTAGAGGCAACACTATGAATTATTTATTTATTTAAAACAAGGTCTTTTTTGGACTTATGTGCAAACACGAGAAGCATAGAATTCTTTATCCTATTTTTAAAAATAAAATCTAATTTTTAAATGTTTTTTTATCATATTCTGTAGGGACTTAAAGTTCAACATATCAATACTTGATGAAAAATACCTGTTCCTTATTATGCCTAAGATGTTTGAAATGCA